TTCGATATTTAAGGTAAAATTAAAGCAGGCCTTTCACCTTGCGGCTGGAAGCAGCTGAAAGAAGCCTGCTCTAACTATAAATAAACCAGTGGGTGTGAATTTAATTCAACTATTATTTATAAAATAAAATATAAAAATAAAATAAACTTAACTCTTTAAACAAATCCATTATTTAAATAAGAAAACGTGCAAAATCTTCTATGCTAGTCCCACGCCACAACAGCAGATATGACCATGCAGAAATAAAGGTTGGAGAGATTTTACACTTTTTAGAATTTTTAACCTCGCTTCAAAAAATAATGTCGCTGGGCCGCCCACGGACTTTGCTGGGCGTCCACACAGGCCGTGTGCTATCTGGGATGTCGCTGGGCCGCCCAAGGCCGTCCACACAGGCCTGGCCGAAAGCGACCTAAAGTCTATTCAAATCCAAGCTGGACTAAATGTAAACACAATCCTCCGAATCGACCAATAAGAGCTCACAATCTGAGTCACACCATCAGAATCGACCAATAGAAACGAGTTATCACGCGTCTGGGCGTTTTTGTTTAGTCCAGCTTGGATTTGAATAGACTTTAGTTGGGACGTCCGTAGGAAGTCGTGTGCTATCTGGGTAATTTAACCTTTAAGAAAAGCAGGGTTTCTTGCCACATTTACAGCAAGGGTGTGGCCAGGATTTTGTTCAGGGGGGCAAATTATATGCAAGCTACAAACAGTTTTGAGACTCCACCTTCCACCCATTTTCTAGCACAATTTTTCTGGACAGGCAATTTTTGAGTATTACTTCCTCCTTTTGATTAAAAAAGTTTATTCTGAAGCCATAATTCATGTATATGAAGCATTAACTAACATATGTTATCCTCCAGACTTTGTTTCTTAATATTTTTATATTCTTGTCACAAATTTTAAATGTCTTTTTTTCCTCCTGTCTTCGACATCATTGCATTTATTTTCCTAAACATTTGCATAAATGCCTGAAAAGGTGTTATTGGTACCTGTAAAAGAATAGCTAAAAACATTGCCTTTTAGAAACAGGTCTAGTATTCCTATAACTATAATATTTACGAGTATATAATTATTATAATTGTAATATAATTATATATAATTATAATTAATTAATCTTTTACAAGAACAAACACTTGAATAAAATTTCCACCAACTTCAACAAAATTTCTTTGAGCTTTTCAGAGGCTTTAAGCCGTAACTTTCGTTTTTCATACCTTCTAATGCAAATTTACTTATACCAGAGCACATTGAAAACTGCGAACATAACCCAATTGTGTATGTTTTATATTGCGGCAATCCTCTTCAAACCAATTTTTTGTCAATAATATGGTTTAGTCAGTTATAAATGTATTTATGTATATATTTAATAATAAATTTTAAAAATGTTTTAAGTACTCTTATAATGTCATAAACCCATATTTAAGTATATGTAAGATAACCTACAAATCTTCTGTCATTTAAAATTTGCTATGTTGCCAAATTTGTTCAAACTAAAATCAGTGTGTATGCGTTGATATAAATAAATCAACGTTTCTGCATACGGCCCTTAGTGAAGTGTTCAAGGTGTAAGACTTAGATATATTAAGTTTTAGCATGTTGATTTTACACCAATTTACAATATAATATTATATAATATAATAATCTTTATATAAAGATTAGCTTGAGCGATACACAGTCACTGATAGCACCGATCCTGGAAATCACCTTCAAATCATCGGCAAATAGTAGTTTTTCACACTTCCCAGTAAGCACAAGCTAGCCGGCCCGCATACGGCCCAAATACGTTTTGCCGAATCGGCCGCGTGCGTATTTCTTCCGGCGTGTAGAACGGGCATGTCCGCCTGGCCAACTGTCGGATATGTTTACTCGGCCGAGTGCCGGCTGCGTATAGTTGGCCAAGTGCCGGCCACAACCACCTGGCTATATAAAAAAAGCCTACAGACGTCCTGGAGAGGTATATCCTATAAGTTTAGTCCTGAAATTCTCTGAATGGCAAGATACTTTTTAACACACTCGACTAGCTAGACATTATTAGTTACTGAGCAGATGAGGATGGAGATGGGGACTCCAAACAATTAATGTTCAGCTATGCCATTACGGACGCACACTTCCAACTAAATATTGCAACCAATCGCTATTTATAGTTAGCTCGCTTGCGCATATTCCGCGGCAGACCGTATTCAAGCCGTAAGCGGGCCGAAGGATTTTGCAGCGGTATGCCGTATTCTGGCCGACGTCGGTTAGAACATGGCTAAACGGTACCGGGGTAACATAACGCAGGCCGTAAGCGGGCCGGCTGGGGCAAGCCGAACCGCCGGTCAACCGCCTATGCCGAGCGAAGGCCGACTGTTTGCCGAGTGTTTGGTGCTTACTGGGTTAATGCCATCAGCCAGGTCATTAATAAATAGTAAAAATAGAAGTGGACCAAGGTTGGACTCTTGGGGTACTCCAGAAGTGGAAGAAAATTTTTTCGAACAAAATACCATATACTTTCTCATAGAAATGCCTTATCAACATTATCAAATTCACTTAAGAATGCCCAATTACAAAGAAATAATTGCTAGTACAATAAAGGAAAGTTAGCCTTTTTAAAGTTCTAACTTTTTTTACAAAGATTTGAAATTCTGTTAGGTTTATTGTTTTTTGTAAGAAATTTTATACTAAGAGCAGGGTTATAACTATCTTCTGTAGTAATTGGTCTTTATCAATATAACATGTAATTGATCTAGTATAAGTATAAGATCTAGTAAACGGTTGTTACAATTTATCATAGCATTATACTAACTTAAATTTAAAAAATCCCTGAACCCTTTTACCAATTTGCTTTTAAAATCATTTGAATTTGAAATAAATTTAGGATAATTAAAATCTCCACTTAAAATAATGTTATCATAATCAGTGATTTTTTCCTCCAGCAAATCAAAAAATGCCTCAAAGTTATCATTCCTAACATCAGGAGGAATATAAATCACAAAAATATCTTTAAAATCGACGGTATTGTTATAAGAACTTATGTTTTTTTACTAATTTTAAAGAGTAAATGTCCTTTTGAAGCGTTAATACTACTGCTTTTAACTCATTTTATCTACTCCTACATTGACGATCTGTGAGTTTATGGCGTTTTAGTCACGGGCTGAAGTTAACAACAGTGGCTTTTGGGCATTTTAGTCACGGTGCGAAAAAGTGAGGTTAAATTCATCAGATGTCAAATATTTATGAATTAAAATTGGCTTGCAATTCTTAATTATGTTCGTCGTAGATAAAGTAGGTATAGTATGCAACTCGTTTTATAAATTTCTCTAAAGACTCGTTTTTATTAAACACTTGCTCGCGCTTCGCTCGTGCCTAATAAAACTCCCAAGCTAATTTTGAACAGTTTTTGCAAATCCATTTTATGCCACTCTTATTTCTAATTAATTTTACTTCAGCCAAAGTTAAATCGTCACAGGTATAGTAAAAGTTCAAATTACATATGCAGCAAGCAATTAATTTAAATAACAATTGTTATCCTCATACGCCTTTTTACAGCAATTACATTTCAATTGAGACGGCATTTTATTCCGCAAGATTTCTTAAATTTGGCAATGTTGCACCAAAAAGTTTTAAGTACGTTGAGGTGCGAAAAAAACTAAGGTAAACAAAAAGGTTAAAGTTTATGTGCACTATAACGACTAAACATCGCCACAAAACCACTTGAATTTAGCAAAATACGATGTAGAAACACTACTTTAGTTGACTAGATACTTTGCACTAATTATTTTGACATTATTTTAAAGATTTAATAACAATATCTACTACACATTAATACACGAGTGTCACTTGAGGTATCAATTGGAATGTTCCAGTCAGAAAATTCATTAAAGTCATTAAAAGTTGACTTTTATATATATTTATTGAGTCTAAAAAGCATTTTTTTGTTTTACATCCGTTGCTTTGTACGCAATAGTTAATTATTTTACAAGTGTTTAAGTTGCTCACGAGGCCGAGTGTGCATTAACACGAGCTTGAAGAAAGCTTTTCTCACAAGTGAAATGTAATGTTTTTTCTACTCCTATTACGGAATTTGGCCGTTCTAGTATCACTTTTATTTATGGAATGACATATTCCGTAAAGTGATACAGAATGAAATATTCTATAATCGGATGACAGAATAAACCCTTGTGGCGACATCTCTGTTTTTAATATCTAACAAATTTTAGACCGATCCAACCTCACTTTCTTCCAATTAAATTATTTTTCTACGGTATTTTTTGGTAACGTAGAAAAAGTATACTCTGAAACACGTTTGGAATTGCATATTCCGCTCTCGTGAAACCGTCAAACTCGCCTTCGGCTCGTGTGACAAAATCTTCACTAGAGCGGAATATGCTGTATTCCAAACTTGTTACAGAATATACTATTTTCTACGACCCTTTTATTTTTATTATTTTCAAATACATAACAAAATAACCTAAAAACTTGTTTGACAGCGAATTTGAAGGGTTGTATTTTCGTTACTGTTCGTTTGATTTGTAGAAAATTTTCAGGGTATACTTACAAAAATACGGTCTTTCACAGCATATTTTTTATTAAGCAAAAATAAAATTACAAAATTTGAGCGTTTATTATTATTAAATAAAATTGCTTTAAGGATATTTTCTCGAAAAATCCTTAAACACGTAAACTGAGATATAAGTTAAAGTATTATTATCCAAAATTTTATAAAGATTGGTAAAGGCGTTTTAGAGTTGGATTTTCTTTACTTGTTAAGCGTTAATTTTAACGCGCAGTGTAGTTTCATCAAATCAAAATCGAATAAAGTAATGTCTATAAATTGAGAAAAACGCTTTCGCGCTAGTTCTTTGTTATTTTATTAAATAAATATGAATCATTATTTAATTAAGTACAAACATATATATTTTTCATACATTGCACGTTTCACCTGCGACTAGAAACTTCTCCATAATTATTTATACTTTACACATAAGCGTGGACCGTTACAATGTGTTATTTTCCAGGAATACGGTTTAACAACTCAGGAAAAGTTAACTATCGGTCAGGGCATATGTACGCCTCTTTTAAAGAAAATAAGAGCCGATTTGCAGCGTAACATAGAAGAAGCAGGCGAAGAGACAGTGAATCGTTTAAATCCACGTTACTCGCACGGAGTGTCTAGTCCGGGTCGTCATGTTCGAACCCGCCTTTACTTTACTAGCGAATCGCACATACACTCGTTAATTACTGTGCTGAGGCACGGAGGACTGTTGGACACGAAAAAAGACGAACAGTGGCGAAGAGCAATGGAGTACGTGTCGATGGTGTCGGAATTGAATTACATGTCTCAGATTGTGATCATGTTGTACGAGGATCCCACAAAGGATCCGTGCAGCGAGGAGCGGTTTCACATTGAACTGCATTTTAGTCCTGGGGTTAATTGTTGCGTGCAAAAGAATTTACCGCCAGGTCCCGGTTTTCGACCGCATTCGAGAAATGAATCAGTTGGAAGTAAAAACCCGGTAATTATGCAATAGAAATCTTATGAGGCAGATTTTTATGTAGATTTAAAATGTATATTTTCATCAGATTTGTTTAAAAAAAAGCAATCCAAAGAACATAAATAAATTGCCTTTATTTGTAATTTTTAAATAGTATTAGGTATTATTGATATTTTTTACAGAGTTCAAATACATCGGTAACAGCAACCCCAGACGAGATAAAAAGCCAATGTTCTCCGAGGATTGAAGAGGAGGGGGAAATTGGTAGCATGGATGACGAAAAATACTCGCCGAAGGATTCCGCGGACGATTCTGAAACAGTTTCTCCTACCATATCGCCGCAGGAGTCTGTTTATAAAACATTCATCAAAACAAGCGATCCAATACCAATTGGGTAAGCAGTTAGACTATAAAAGTATATTTCATAAGCAGTTCCGTGCTATATATTGTAATCATGAAAGCAAGAATTACACACATGTTTAGGGCATTAACACTTTCACTGCTGACTGAGGAAGCCTTAACGACCCCATAGTGCTGACATTTTTGTTTCGAATTTCTGTAAAGTTCGTTTACAGAACACTTTAATAAAATACATAAGTTTTGCCAAAAATCAGTGCCCGTAGGGCCATGACGGCTTGGGCTGTCAAGCGCACTGAGGACCTAAAACTGCGCTAGAACAACGCTGACCTCTATATAATAATATAATATATCAAAAGGTTGCTTGCGTACGCATGACTGCCTGGGCCGTCAGTCGCACATATCAGCTACCGCGCATGACGGCCTAAGCCGTCAGCCGCAGTGAATGTGTTAAGGCAACTTTTTAAAAATCTTTAAGTTATTTACCCTTTAAAATAAGTCAAGGAACATAACAGAAATTTTAACAAAAGCATCTGAGCGAAAAATACTTTTCGGTAATATGTACTAAACATTTTTTACGTTCATAATAATTGACTATTATAATCTGGTTAAGTTAAGTTAAGCTATTATTGTCACAATGATATCCATAAAAGTTATCTGCCAAATATAAATTTTGATCCTTTCCCAATTTTAATTTAATTAGTTCAGGGGCGGCGATTTTATAAGGGTTTAAACTATTGAAATGTTAACACAAGTTAAAAATTTAGTTATTTTAAAAAATATTAAAAATATCGTTATGAAATTTAAATACAATCTTAATATAATAAGAATCTTATTTCTGTATAGTGACAATTTTATACTGGTTTCAAATGTAAAAGTACTACTGTCTGTCCACGATATGTTGGCGGATCAAAGGAATTAAGGTTACCCGACAAACAATTTTCCGTCGGCCGCATGGCCGATAAATGATCTTGCCGACGTTGGCCCACCGGTGGCAAACGATGTCGGCCCGGCATCAATAGGAGACAGCGGCCATCAGGCGGCCGACGGACTATAGCCCGCCGTTGTTCATCGTATGCCGACATCAGCCCGTTGGTGGCATACGACGTCGGCCCACTGATGGCATACAACGTCAGCCCGGCATCAATAGGAGACAGCGGCCATCAGGCGGCCGACGGACTATAGCCCGCCGTTGTTCATCGTATGCCGACATCAGCCCGCTGGTGGCATACAACGTCGGTCCGCCGTCAATAGTCCGTCGGCCGCATGGCGGCCGATGGTCGACAAATGATCTTGCCGACGTTGGCCCACCGGTGGCAAACGACGTCGGCCCTGCATCAATAGGAGACAGCGGCCAGGCGGCCGACGGACTAAAGCCTGCCGTTATTCGTCGTATGCCGACGTTAGCCCGCTGGTGGCATACGACGACTGCCAACAGTCAATAGAAGACTGGGGCCATCAGGCGGCCGACGGATTATAGCCCTCTGTTGATCGTAGACCACGACATTAGGAAACGACTTTGGCCAGTATAAGATGGCTGTATTTACTAGCTAGGTCAAAATGCTGTAAGGGTAAAATAAAATTTGATTGAATTTGAAGATCTGATTACATACACACACTCATGGGTTTCAATTCGTTTAGCCACAGAACATAACCTCACACAATAAACGATTATGCAACGTTGTCAAGTCGCTTTGGTTACAATAGTTTAATAAATATTAATGGTATTGATTATCGCGATAACGCGTTTACCGACGTTGAACCATCGCGAAAATTGATTGTCTTTTGCAGACGTTTGACAATGTTGCGACGCGTACGTCCAACGTTGGGCCGACGCGTCGCGACGTTGGAAATCGATTATCGTTTGCAGACGTTTTACCGCTCGTTTTGTTGATAGTTCCAACGTTGGGTTAACGTCGGAAATGAATTATCGTTTGGCGACGTTGCAAACGTTTTTTCGCTAGTTTTACCGACGTCGGTCCAACGTTGGATAAACGTCGAAAATCGATTATCGATTTCAGACGCACTGAGAAAAAAATGGGACAAATAAACTGTGTAGCTAATACTTTTATTAATAGTGAATATATTGTTTATTACCTCTAAATAGTCGAAATAATAACAATAAATATACTTTAGTAAAACTTTATGTGTCGGGAATAAAAATATATTTTGGATAAATAAACTGTGCCATTTTCCCATATTTAAATATTTTTTTTATTTGGGAGCAATAAACTTTTTTCTCAGTGCGGGTTACCGCTCGTTTTGCCGTCGTCGGTTAAACGTTCGGTTGACGTCGGAAATTAATTATTGTTTGCCGACAATGGACCGACGTCGAAGATCGCTTATCGTTTACAGATGATTTACCGCTCGTATTGCCGACGCACAGTGCGTCGAGTATATGCAGATGGGAATCAAAAATAATATCTTATTAATTAAATGTTTTTTTTTAATTATTTTTGACTATTAAAATATTAATATAAATAAATACTGTACAAGCAAATAACATTTTCTCTAAAAAATCTACAGGGCGATAGAAAAATGCATGTTTTAATTAAATTAATTTACTCATACATTAAGGTTTATTAAAAAATGGTTTTATTAATAAAAAATGGTTCAAATCAAAAATATTTTTTTAAAATTTTATGAAAAAATGTATTTAATAATAAACTAAGTAGTATACAGTGTGAAACAAAACATAATAATTGCCTTTGAAATGAACGGAATCAAATAGAACAGAATGTCATTGACAATTTAATATTTAGTATGACACGAAGGTGCAGAGCAGTTATTAACAATCTAGGCCTATAGGAGGACACACCCTCCATTGATAAAGTCAAAAAACTTTATTTATTGACCTTAAACATTTACTGAAAAAATTAATTAGTTATTTTTGTAATTTGTACTGTTTATCATTTTTTTGTTAATTTTGTAATTTTTACGTGCCCAATATAATTTTTTTTAATTTTAGAAGTTTAACATTTATATTATTTTATTATCTTGTAGTAGTAAATTTTATTTCTTGATAAAAACAGTACAGTTACAGGGTCCCAGTAATTTCGGAACTAAGTTTTGCATCTTGAAAGAACCGCCTAGCAGTGTTCCCGTCATTAGATGTCCCTATTAAAAATGCCCTATAGAACCCATATTGATCCAGATAAGGAAACTAATATGGATTTATATGGTTCTATATGTCCTATATGGAACGACCTGGTTTACACTTTTGGAATCTATATGGTTTAATATGGAATTTCAAAATGTACAACTTAGGGATTTTTATATGGATTTATCTGGTTTCTGTTTTATGTGTCTTTCCATATAGGTTTCCCTATATGGTTGAATATGGAATTCCATTTTAAAATGGATATATATTTAAACGAAAATTGCATATTAAACCATATAGATTCCCCTATATGGTTAAATATGGATCTATATGGTAATAATTTTTTCACACCCAAACCATATTGGGCCAGATAGTGCAATATGAACCTATGTGGCAATCCATATAGAAATCACTTTTCTATATGGTTTTTCAGGTATGGAATTCTATCTGGTTCAATAGTGCAATGCCTGTTTCAAATTCCTATATTGAACCAGATAGATTTTTATTTTGTGTTTCTATATGGCATTTTTAATAGGGGTGCCGTATCCAGGTTTTGGAATATCTACATATTAACAATCCCATTTTTGTTTTAAAAATTTTCTGAACTTCGTTTTTTCGTACTTTTAGTTCTGCTTTATTATTATCGCCTCTAACTTGACAGGTTTTAAAAGGCAACTTATAAGAGATATGTAAAAGAGTCTCAAAGCTCCTAATCCAACAGTGTAATGAAAAAAGTCCATATTTATAATTTTCCGTACGTGGATTTCTTGCTGAAATGTTTGTTTTGTTCATTAATTTTGGCGTAGCACCAAAAATTAAGCAGTTTTGAGTGGCATTAGTACAAGATAATATATTAATGGCACTACCATCGAGCATTGTAAAAAGCATCTCGTAATTCACAACCATTTCTTGTTCGTTTTTGTTTATTTGAAATTGTTGCAAATTTTCAATATCTAAAGTCACTCTTTGTTCTTCTGCTTTTACAACATCTTTGCATTCTTTGATATAATTAAACTTAATGGGCCTACAATACATGGTGGAAGAGGGCCTAGGATTTTTCCAAATTTCTTTTTTATTATTGTCAATAAGTCTTAAAGGTACCAAAGCTGTTATTATTAAAAAAGCATCTGTACTGTCCGTGTCGGTAAATTTTTGTTTATATAGGCTATGCCCGCTGCTACCATCAAACCCCCACTTACATGTTAGGGTTAAAGGGTTCGACATGCCTTTTAGGGAATCTTGCTCTGTTATTTGTAAAATACTAAAATGTGTTGTTTTATTTAGTAAATCTTGCAAGTCAACTTCAGATGAAAGTTCATTAATCGAGATATTAGTGGGTAAAATAGTTTTTCGGTACTGTTTTAATTTATAGAGACTCGGAAATAATCCAGGATATAATAGATTTATTGTACTACTTAGGATAATGTATTTATTCTCTGAAAGGTACAGATCTAAATAAAGGGCTAACGCTTGTTGCACAGACAAACATTTTTTATGACTTGTTGAAGGTGCTGTTTTGTTTGCGGAAATTTTTGCAGCAAAGTTAAGTTCATCTGGACTCCAGTTTTTAAGTAAATCTTTTATTTTCCTCTTTTTGGTTTGAGTGGTACCGTCCTCAAATTTTTTTTGTGGTCTACCTCGACTTGTTTTAGGAGTAGAATTTTTGTTTTTGGTTATAAAGAGTTTAATATTTTCTGGAAAAGTAAACCTTTGCTTGAGCCAAACTTCATTCTTTTTGAGGAAGGTCGAACGCATTCTAGCACACTGTTTCCATTTATTTTTTACAGTGAGGCAAAAATATTTGGATGTTCTATTGATTTCTGCTTCAATAGTCTCTGGGCACTCATTTACATCTATATTTAACAAATATTTTATTTTACTTGCAACTGCTTGGATCTTTTGTATTTTAGTTGTTACCCATGCATCAAATATATCAG